TAATAAAACCTCCTTATAACAAGTAGTGAAATGGCCTTTGTGGATGCTGAAACAGTACCTCTCCTTCCAGGGGAGAGGTCAGTGGAATGTCACTGTGTTCTCCCGGGTGCTGTCATACTGTGAAAGAGAACAGAACTCTTGCCACCTCAGGTTGTCCCCAGAGCTGTCTCACCTAAGTGCGGGGCTGAAGAGCATCAGTATCTCAAGAAGCCCTAGTAATCTCTTCAGCCTGGATTCTCACCAAAGATTAGTAGGACTGACCTCGTCACCTACAGCTTTCTTTCCCTAAATCACTATCAGAATTCCAAGTATTCCCAATAATGGTCAAAGAGATGTTCATCTCCACGCTGCTCTGAAATCCCACACTTTTTCCCATCCTCTGCTGTTTAGTGTGTTCCAGCCAACTCCCTGCAGGCGATCCCACTACTCCTTCCCAGGAAATTTACTTTGCTTCTTTCTGAGAGACCTGTTTTATATCTGTTTTTTTCTTTCCAGTCATCTCTCATATTTCATAGAAAAAATAGGTGAAATCAGATAAGAAATTGCCTCATCTCCTCACCACCTAATCCATTCACACCTACCTGCCTCTGTAGCTATACATCCCACCTTTACTCTTGTTAAAATGGATTATTTCCATATCAGTTTATTGTCAAACCCCCCAAGTGCCCCGAATCTCAATTCCTTTTTCCTTCTCAAGAACATTCTTTGGTAATTACCTATTTTCTTTCCTATATTGTGCATTTCTCTACCAGATCATTCCAGCAAGCAAGCACGCCGTTATGGCATTCATTAAAAAAGATTCCCTTGACACCATGCTTCATTCTGGCTATTGCTTGCTTCCTTCTTCCCTTAACAGAAAAGCTTCTTGGAGGAAATTTGTATAATTGCACAGTTTTACATCCCATTCTCCAGGAAACTTACTTTAATCATGCTTTTATTTTCATCACGCCACTGAAATGATTTTTACTGCGATCAAATGCCAACAATAGCCAACACAGAGAGCCTACTATGAGGCAGGCGGGGCTCTAAGTACTTGAGGCCTATTAACTCATTTCATCCTCAAACCAACCCTGTAAAGATGGTGCTATTAATATTCCCCTTTTAGAAAGGGGAAAAAAAATGCTACTCAGAGATACTAAATAACTTGCCCAACGTCACACAGCTGTTAGGAGGAGTTCAGATTTGAATCCAGCTACTCTGGTTTTAAAGGCTATGCTCTTAATTAGTACATGGTCTTACTTTTTTAATGGACAGGGACTTCTCTTTGTTTACTGAACCTTTCAGCAGCACTCCCTACAGCTGATGGAAACATTCTTGAAACATTTTGTTTTTTGGTTTTCCATGCTTTCATCCCATGTTCTCATTGTATTTCCTCATGCGCTGCTCCTTGCTGGTCTCTATTGCTGGCTCCCCATTTCAGACTGAGGTTTGAAGGGACTGTTTCCCTTCTACTCTTTTGGCAATCTTTCCAGGTTATTTAGTTCAGTCTGTGGTTCAGTCTGTGATCACCTATGAACCTGGATTTCTTTTCTTTTTTTTTTTTTTTAAGATTTTATTTATTTATTTGACAGACAGAGATCACAAGTAGGCAGAGAGGCAGGCAGAGAGAGAGGAGGAAGCAGGCTCCCCGCTGAGCAGAGAGCCCGATGTGGGGCTCTATCCCAGGACCCTGGGATCATGACCCGAGCCGAAGGCAGAGGCCTCAACCCACTGAGCCACCCAGGCGCCCCTGAACCTGGATTTCTTAAGCGTGTTATCTGCACCCGAAGTCTCTTCCCAAAGCTCCATTTCACAAATGTTGCTGCCCGATTTATATCTCTACTTGGGTGCCTTTTAATAGTCTCAAATTTAACACTGACAGCACAGAACTACAGGTATTTTAACCCAACCCAGCTTTTGCCAAACCCTGTTCCCAGACCTTTTCTATCTGCCAGAACCACCACCCCCACTCCCCCCCCCCCCGAGTTCATGTATAAATAACATACAATGTGATATTAGTTTCAGGTATACAATATCATGATTCAATAGTTCTACCCATTAATCAGTGCTCATTATGATCAATGTGTTTTTCACCTTTTTTATCCACCCCCCATCCACCTCCTCTTTGGCAAACACCAGTTTGCAGAACCACCCACTTCTAATTGCTCAGGACAAACTGAGGAGTGACCCCAATTCCTCCTTCCCACAGAGCTCATGTTCAGGCTAATAGCAAGTCAAACCAGCTCTACAGAGGACTGTTCCTAATCTGCTGCTTCTCCCCAGCTCTGCTGTTGTTAGTATAGCCTCAGTCATCCTTTGTCCCCTAGGCTCTTGCAGCCTCTTCATGACTGGTCTTCCTCTTCTTCCTCCTGCTTCTTCAACCCATTCTTTAAAAGGCAGTCTGAGCAAATTTCTAAAGCATTTAATGAGGTATCCTATCTGCCCAGAGTATTTCCCTTGTGACATGAGTAAAATCCAGTTCCTTTATTATAGCCTACCAGTCTCTACTCCACCTTCCCACATTTCTTTTTTTTTTTTATTTTCAGCATAACAGTATTCATTGTTTTTGCACCACACCCAGTGCTCCATGCAATATGTGCCCTCCCTAATACCCACCACCTTGTTCCCCCAACCTCCCACCCCCGCTCCTTCAAGACCCTCAGGTTGTTTTTCAGTGTCCATAGTCTCTCATGGTTCACCTCCCCTTCCAGTTTCCCTCAACTCCCTTCTCCTCTCCATTTCCCCTTGTCCTCCATTTTATTTGTTATGCTCCACAAATAAGTGAAACCATATGACAAATGACTCTCCTTGCTTGACTTATTTCACTCAGCATAATCTCTTCCAGTCCCGTCCATGTTGCTACAAAAGTTGGGTATTCATCCTTTCTGATGGAGGCATAATACTCCATAGTGTGTATGGACCATATCTTCCTTATCCATTCGTCCGTTGAAGGGCATCTTGGTTCTTTCCACAGTTTGGCGACCGTGGCCATTGCTGCTATAAACATTGGGGTACAGATGGCCCTTCTTTTTACTACATCTGTATCTTTGGGGTAAATACCCAGTAGTGCAATTGCAGGACACTCATGAAAGAAATTGAAGAAGACACATTTCTGAACACAGTTCCCTAGACCTCGCAATTGCTCAACCACGCCGTTGCCACCCGGATGACCGAGGCTGTCCTAGGAACACACCACACATTTCCCCATTTCAGCTCCCTGTCATTTGTTGCTCCTTCTCTTTGGAATACTCTTCCTTTCTTAGATCCTCATAATGGATGCTTCCCTCTCATCTCTCAGGTCATCATTCAGATGACCTTGCAGAGGTCTTCTCCGGCACTCATAAAAATACACTCTCCTTCCCTGTTTGCTTACTCTCTCTTTACTGCAGTTCCTTCCAGAAGCTTAAAAATCTAGTTTTTTTTTTAAGCATTCACGGGGGTTTATAATTTGTTTTCTACACAGGAATATGACGTCTCTGAAGGCAGGCTCTGTGTCCCTCCTTTTTATGGTTATATCCCCAGTACTCAGAACCATACCTGAGGTGTGGTATTGACTCAATTAAAATGTGATTAAGTATGGTACAAAGAGTTAGCATAATGACTTGTACAATATAATGCAAAACACTCAATAAATTAAACCAAACCGAATCATCCTTAGCTAAGAAAATATTTTCTAGAGCACAAGAGTCTGACTCTCAAGCTTTTAACTTTCACAGAGATAGACTTGTGTTTGAATCAAACACAGAGAAATCCCCATTTGTATCTACAGTGGCGGGAAAATCTTTGCGGCATTGGAAATGATATCTCTTTCTTGACAGTTCTTTCAAGGATCCCATGTCAAAGTCATATGTCACACCCAAGTTTCTTGGTCTTGCATGGAGGAATGAACAATATGTGTGATTTTTTTCTCTCTTACAAGATCTAAGCAAGATGTCTAACCTGTTTGCACTGTAATACTCATCCCCAAGGGGAAGATTAATATATGATGTATTGATCTCTACAAAATGGGCCTCAATATGTTTATATCATTAAATAATTTCAGATCTGGTTTTTATATCACATTTTTAAAAATTTCTGAAAGGATTGTGTTTCAACAGATATTTGATTTTAAACTTATTTTTAGCATATAAAACTTCTACTTTATTGTTCCAAAGTAGGGTTAATACTTTGAAGAAGAAATGCTACCCCCACCGCCAAAAAAAGAAAGAAAAAGAAGGCAAACCAGAATCCTACCCTAATGTGATAAGTGAGGTCCACAAGTCCCAAGTACCCAACCATTCAGGAGCCTTACTGCCAGGTTAAGGGGCTGGGTGGGGGAAGCCTTGAAGCTTATTGGATGGGGCTCCCAGGCTAGATATAAATCCATCCATATTCTGGCTATGGTTGTTGGTGGCAAGATGGAAAGAAAAGATTTTGGGGGCTGAAACTGGCTGGGACTTCTAGGAAAATGGCAGCAATTTCAAGAATCCCCAGTTAGTTCATTCCCAGGGAAACTGGGCAGAGGAATACTGAGGAGATGGGTTCCACCCTTTACCTCCTTACTTCCTGAAAAGAGGTTCCCTGTCTGGCTTCTGTGCTTACCCCTAGAAGAAAAACATAACCTTAACCCTCCCCCAGCCCACCACTTTGAGAATAGGTCTCCTCTTTGCACCATTGCAGGGCACCTTGTCAAAGGGTTTGCCTTTCTTTGATTAACATGTTGGACAAAAAAGTCATATGCAAATAAGTATGTTTTTGATGATGCCACATATTGTCTCTATATTTCAGACTGTTCTTACAGCTCATTCTAATCTGGTCACTAATTGTTCCTGCTTCACCAAGCATTTACTGACAGAAATGGTCCTTGCACATTTAGAAAAGAAATCAAATCTGCATTATGGAGTCAGCATCATTGTATTTCTAGTTTCATGCATGGGGGAATCCGTTATAGAGCTATATTTAATGTACATCTAATTATAAAGGGTGGGGGAGAAGCCAAAGCTTTCTCAATGTTGTCTTATCTCTTATTTTTGTTTGTGCAGCTCATCATGTTAAAACGGGCACTTGCGAAGTGGTTGCACTCCACAGATGCTGTAATAAGAACAAGATAGAAGAGCGATCACAGACAGTCAAGTGTTCCTGCTTCCCCGGGCAGGTGGCAGGTACCACGCGAGCAGCTCCGTCTTGTGTGGATGGTACGACTTCTTCCATTGCTCATGGTGGTCATATAGCTGGGGACTGGTTAGACCTGGAAATCCACTATAATGCTGTTGACTGTGGTCAATCCTGAGGGATCATACCATAAATCATGTGGTTGATGAGAGATTATTGATCAGGGGGAGGGGCATTCTGAAATCTAAAATCCTCTGGAAGGAGGTCTAAGACCTTATGCAGTTTTATAACGAAAGGCATTCTAGGGAGGTTCCAACAAGTCCATGTGCTTCTTACTTTGATACCATCAAATACTGATTTACCAGTGAAGGGTGTGTGTGTGTGTGTATATATAAATTAATTGGGAAGAGAAAATAGAGGCTTAAACAGTATGATGATGTAAACCCATGGGTGGTTTCTAAGAATGAAAATATAAGCACCATACAGATTAGTGGATTTGTAGTTTGACTTAACATGAAATACTGATTTTTATGGAGATCCATCAAAATGTTAATTTCTTTATTGGAGGGTTCACCTAATTACAATAGGACATACATCTTTGTATGGGTCTACTTAATTACTGTTACCATAAAAAATAATTTAAGTATTCCTATTAGCATGGCTCATTCCTTGTGATGATGGTTACTGCCCACAATTAAAAAAAATTACATTAACTCTAATATTCTAATTTTAGCTTACTTGTGGGAAGTATTACATTAATTCTAAAATGTTGATAATAAACTGGTAGTAGGTTCATTTTCTTATATATTTAGGTAAATCAGTGCATGCATATGTCTACATAAGTTTCTTCCCACTATATTAGTTTTCATTAAGCCTGTACATTCACAGGAAAATATCCTTCAATAATGTGCTTCTAATTAACAATATTATTTGTTAAGAGGCTGGAGCTCATGTTCAGTGTTCTTACCACAATAAATGAAAATTTAAAATAAAAATTCTTTTAGTCAGAAAATCTAGAAGGATTTAGCCCCTTTGGACAAAAAGAGAAGCATGCTTCAAAACCCAGTCTTCACCACTATTAGGAAAAACCGGTGTCCTTTGTTCTTCTTTAAATTTGCACCCAGATAATTAACTAGCCCAAATAGAAAACATTGAATTGATTTTTTTTTTAATCTCCTGTAGCTTCAATAGTGGAACAGAAATGGTGGTGCCATATGCAGCCATGTCTTGAGGGAGAGGAATGTAAAGTTCTTCCAGATCGGAAAGGATGGAGCTGTTCCTCTGGGAATAAAGTGAAAACAACTAGGGTAAGTGGACAGCTAGCTTGGGAAAGCAAAAATGTCTCTGAATTCATAGAGTGTGGACATGCACAGTAACATTGTTAAGTGATGGTTGTACAATGAAGAGTATAGTTTTCCATACTACTCCCTCCCATTTTCTTCCTAATTCATTCTTTTCACAGCACATTTTAATTTTACTCAGAATAGCATCTTCTATAGATTGCCATCAACTGTCATGTCATTTAATGAATTAATGTTGTGTGTTCCCCTTCATGAGATACTGACAGTGATGAAAAACCCCCTGAATATGCATGTTAAATGCTGAGAAGGTGACCTCAATCCCTTATTCTTCTAACGGACAATAATTTCAATACATTCTGGGGGGGATAAAAAGAATATATTTTATTCATGACTCAATACAACTTCCCAACTAAGAGTCTTTCATTTTTATGAAAGTAATTATTTTGATCTTCCTGATTTCTGGGTCAATAAATGGTTTTCTAATGGTTAACTTTGTAATGAGTTATGAAGAGGAGTTTCTAAATCTCAGGGTCAATAAGAAAAGAATACTCTTCAGGGGCGCCTGGGTGGCTCAGTGGATTAAGCCGCTGCCTTCGGCTCAGGTCATAATCTCAGGGTCCTGGGATCGAGCCCCACATCGGGCTCTCTGCTCAGCGGGGAGCCTGCTTCCTCTCCTCTCTCTCTGCCTACTTGTGATCTCTGTCAAATAAATATATATTTAAAAAAAAAAGAAAGAAAAGAATACTCTTCGGACAATGATATATTTCATCTTGCAATGATTGACTTCTGGGACATGGGAGAGAAGTGAAAATGGTTAGCTTTAAACTTTGATTTCCTAAATAGCTCCATGGATATTCTGGACGGGCAGCATTTAAATTTTCTGTAGAATCAGCAAATGAAAATTCTGTCTTGTTTTGCTATTTGCTTTGAGGGGAAAGCAGACTATTGATTAGAACTGGATAATTGGGGACTAGAACAGAATAATGATATAAGATTTTATTTTATAAAAAGTAACATAAGACCAGAGACTGGTTAACTTACATACTATTTCAGAATGGCAGTTTTTTTTTTTTTTTAGACCTCTCTGGACATATTCAAGAGAATTATTTTTGGATCCTATCAGATATATAATTCAGTCTGTTGAATAACATGTTGATCGCATTGGCTATTCAGACATACACAAAAGCAACTAAGTTTCTAATAGCAAAAATAATAACTTTATATTTTATCCTATTATTCATGACTCTCTTTGTTGGCTAAATGCTGACATAATTTTCCAAAACCCACAGAGTGCATGATCAGTTAATTAGAATAATTGTATTATTCAGTTAGCACATGATATAAACCATATTGATTTATTAAAAACATCCTTGGCAATATAAAATTTCCTTCTAAGTTATTTATAGCATGAATATATTTCCTTCCTCAACACTATAAATCCTTAGTCCAAAATAGCACTCATGGAAATTCACTGAAGATCTGAGATTCTGAAGCAAATTAAAAAACAAAAATTGCACTCTAAACTCTGTTTTTTATTACTTCAGTGGACATGAGGAAGCTAACATTTATTGGATACTTAAAACATATGCCATAAACTGAACAAAGTACTTCATGTGAATGAGCTCATTTAATCCTCTTAACAGCCCAGTGAGGAAGATAATATTATTATCTCCTTTTTACAGATGAGTAAACCAAAGTTTCAAAACCTTCAGTGACTTCCCAAGGTCATACAGCCAATGAACAAGGAAGCCAGGGTCAAACCGAGCAGTCTCATTCCAGAACCCAATCTCTTAAACTTATTCTTAAGTAATAGTGAGGAAAGCTTCCTATCATTCTATTCATATTAGGTAGACCCTTAAAGTTATCTTTAACTTTCTGGATCATTGAAATGAAAAGGTCAAGACCATGTGATCTAAATTCCCACAGTAAATTGTGTAAGAAGTGCTGTTTCCCTTCCTGCTGTGCCGTATTCTCAGGGTCCAAACTTAAAATTCAGTCTCTGCAATGCTTCACATTTAAGTGGTTTTCATCATGTAATTAAACAAGATGGATGAGAGGCTGAGAACCTGTGAGTGAGGAAGACCATCATCTAGTTCCTCCAGTTCATTTTTGTTATAAAGTGTTAGGCCACACAGAGTAGATTGTACTTCCTTTTTATTTCTCTTTTGCCCTGAAGAAGAGCTTTTAAAGGAGGGCCTCCCTGAAGATAATATAGAAAGGGCTCATGCCACCAGAAGTATTTTTTTTTAATTTTTTATTTTTTATTAACATATAATGTATTATTAGCCCCAGGGGTACAGGTCTGTGACTTGTCAGGTTTACACATTTCACAGCACTCACCATAGCACATACCCTCCCCAATGTCCATAACCCAACCACCCTCTTCCTACCCCCCTACCCCCAACCAGAGGTATTTATTAAATCACTTTTAAGATTCCTTCCAACTCGGAGTCTGTGATTCTCATTTAGAATAAGGAAAAATCATCATATATAAGACCAGTGATCCTTGAAGACAGAGTTTCTTGAGTACAAAGTAAATTATTATCTCTTGTTTTCTTTACAAGAAAAAGATTGCTGGTGAGAAGGAAGGTATATAGAGATTTCCAACTGAAGGGACGTCATGGTATTCCAAATGGCTAGGCAAAATGATAAGCAATTTTGAGTGTTTTGAGTGTTTCAGGATGATAAGCAATTTCCCTGAGGCCTCAAAAACCAAAGTCTCCGAGGTCATCAGGTTATTACACTTTTGCTTTCTCCACTGAAATAGTACAAAAAGTATAGGAGATACAAATTTTTGAAATAGCTCTGGCCAGTATTACTTTGTGCACCGTGGAAGTGTTGGACAGAGGTAGCTCCTGCCCCACATAAATAGCAGCAGAATAATCGAGAAGAATTCTGATCATTATTCGATTCATGGCATTATTGTTCCTTTGTCAGCCTTAAATAAGTCAGCCATGGTTGTGGCAAGCCAAGCAGCCACTGCAGCCCTGATTTGGCAGGTTCCAGCCACAAATGGGGAAAGTCCAGAAGTTTAGCATGAATAGGTTACAAAGTAACCAAAGAGCTGCTCGAAGCCAAAAGCCATCTGAGTTTCTTATGCAAGATATGTTGGTCTTGTGGGATTATCACTGCAAGCAAAATGGCTTGAGAAATGAATAAAATTTGCAATAATGTACACCCTTCCTTTTAATTGCCCATATTCAATCTGGAGTGCTCCAGTAAGCCGAATGTTAGAAAAAAAGCAGTCAGCCAAAAACAGCAATGAGACTTGCTTAGCCTCAGCAGAGATGTGGTGGTACTTTCCAGAATTGACTACAGATTATGGGCTGGGTGAATTCCTCATTTAAGACTAATTTGGAATTTACATTGTACTTCCTACTATAAATGTGAATTATATCCCCTTCTGTCTTTGTACCAGATTCAAGAAGCTTATTATTCCGATCCCATTTTCTATTTATCCCAGCAAGGGAGAAAAGGCAAAGAATAAGACAACCCTTGCTGGAATATCAGTATTTTGCACTCATGTTCTTCTGTGTCCCAAACATTTAATCGGGAGGGAAAGGAGGATGCAACATTTGTTTCCTGAACCTTATTTCTTACCTTAAAGGTGGAAACTTAGGACTGCTTATGACCTCTGTAACCACCTATTATATTACTTTTAAGAACTCCAAAGTTAAAGTCATGAAAGCCCTTTGATTTCAAACTCACTTTCAAAGATAAATAATAAAGAACTTTTCAAAGAGTCATTAATAAAAGAATACTGTTTCCAGTGTGAAAGAGCACATAATTATACGCTAATTATATAACATGAAAGTAGCAGGGGGGAAAGGTGCTATAGAGCTTGTAAGACTTGGGAAAAAAAATCTTTGATAACATTGTTGGATCCTTAGCAAAAATAGACTCTGATTCATTTCTTTTAATGTTTTGATATTCTTTCTCTGTGAAACATCTCCTAAAGGAAGTCACATTTTGATTTTAGAATTCACAGCTCGTGGCCATGGCTTTGGGTTCCAAACACCAATGGTCATGCAGTTCTTAAGTCTGGTTCTTCCCTAAAGAAAGATGACCTTCAGAGTATGCAAGAGTCTGTATTTTCATTAGATATTTCATCTCTATGAATCACATAGAGATGTGATTAGGTCTATTTACTTTTCATATACTTAAGACATTTTCTGGATAATTTTTAACTAATTGGAAGTCTTTCATCTTTACTAATTTACTTAAAGTGCCTCAAGCAGATTAGAACTCTATTTTTCTAAAGTCTCTTCAAGTCTATATGGATTTTAAGTGCATAAAATATGATTTCATTTTGGTGAATAATGCAAAGAAAATCAACAGGTATTAAGAATTTCTTATGCATAAACATCCTGTAATAACAATGCTCTTATTATAATCAAAGCGACAAAAGCATATATGAAGGCATTTACTTAGTTCTTAGAATGTACATGGCACTGTAAGTGTATTGCAGGTATTATCTTATTTAATTTCCAAAACCACAGTAGGCACTAATGAGAGTACAAAGATGAATGGCATGGTCCCGGCCAACCAGGCATATGCCCTAGAGTGGGGGAATGAATACTGTACAGTTGCATTATTCTTGTTATCCATATGCAGTCCACTGACAAAGTGGAATCATGGATAAGTATAAGAGTAACATTGTTATAATAATGGGGCTAGTATAAACCTTTAGCTCAGCCTCCTCATCTGCAAAATAAATGAGGAGATTGAGTTAGATTCAATTTTGAGTTCCTTTAACCAGGATTTATTTTTTGGTTCCATGTGCCAAGGACATTTTTAACTTCCTTTCCAGCTAAATTTATATATGACACTAATAACTGGCTAATCTTAGAAGATAGATTAAGTATTTGGGTTTTTAATCCTTTCCCTGTAAGGGAGAAAAGAAATAGCATTTTAGGATGCTTTGCTGATTAAAGCCTCAAGTCATCCTCTTCCAGATGCTGCTGGATTTTATACTAAAACTCAGTAACTGTTCTGTGATGGGGCGG